TCTCACCTCAGGCCTCTCCAAACTAACCTCAACAATCCCTGTTGCCAAAACAACCACATCAGTTTCTGCTTTGTGGGTCATAGAAAATAGGCATAAACAGATATAACCCATTTCTTCTTACGCAATTTGGAATTGAAATTTACCTGAATCAGAGTCAGAGAGTCTGTGAAGGCTGACGGAGTGAGAAGGTGCTTGATCCAAAATTAGACTGCGGCGAGCTACGTAAATCCATTGCTGACTCTCTGGAAATGCAGAGGTTCTGGGTTTGTAATGTCTCAGTGACCTGCTTACGGCTCTCAAAGCAGCCACCATTTTCTTTCACAAGCTCAAGCTCAAGAGGTTCCAGAGTAACACAAATCTTACGTTCGTCAATTGGAGGGAACTCAGCGCCGGACTCGGCTGTTGGAGGGGTTTGTCGACGGTTGGAGTTCAGTCGGACTAGTCAGCTACTGCGTGACTATGAGAAAGAGTGACAGAGAGATAGAGCGCCCTGGGAGGAGAGAGGACTTCAATACAAGCGTAATCAAGTAAGTCTACGTTCTTTTTTTTATGTTTTATAATTTTTTAATTGAGTGCCTTTGATTTGATTTAACCCAATTTTTTCACACGTAAACCTAACATTTCAATGAATAACAGACTTTCAATTTCACCTTTTTGTTTTTGCCAAAGTTAGAAAAGGGTGGGGAAAAACTCATACACACGGACAAAGTATGGGCCAATCCGACTAAATACCCGATTGGTCAATTTCACCCTTATTCAAACTGACTCAAACTCACTCCCGCAGTCCGTTTATTTTCTTTTTTATTTTCTTTTTTTTTATAGATGTCAAGATATTTTGTTTCATAATTAATATGTTTTTAGTTTTAATGAATAAAAAAGGAAAGGAAGAGAAAGTGGAGAGATGGAGATAACCACCACATCCTTGAAAATTCTACTTAATTTATTTTATTCGATGGATACCTTAATTTTGATGCGTCTGTGCATAGTACAGGTAAAGCTGATGCAGGGTTTGTTATTCGTGATCACTGGGGAGTTGTTAAACTTGCTGGCTCTATTCCTTTGGGTTATTATTCAGTGTTGGAGCAGTAACGGAACCAGGATTCAAATTCTCGGGGGCCAAAAAATTAACATGTACTAAACATCTAGAGCAAGAAGAGAAAAAATATAGATTGCAGAAGAAAAATTAACATGTATTAAACTTATTTTGAAATACATTAAGCTCTGTAGCCATTTTAATTATTGTTATATCAACTTTTTTTTAACCTATTTGGTTAGTTATGATAAAAATTAAGATTTGCCAACTAAATGTATCCAAGTATAGCTATTTATTTTTATTTTTTATACTAAAGAAATCAGTATTTACTAAAACCCAAAAGAGAAAGATATAAAAATCAGCAAAGAATAGCCAATATAACTTCACATTATTACTAAAAATGAATTTATTAGGGTGGCCATTAACTTCAAACATGCAAAATCGTTTTAATATTTTACAATACATTGCCTTGATTGGTGAAAACTTAGAAAACATTGGAGGGGCCAGGGCCACCTCTGGCCTAAAGGTGGCTCTGCCCTCGTGTTGGAGGCTGAGGCAGCAGGTCTAGAGTTTGGTCTTGCTACTGCACTACGATTTGGTTTAAAAAATATTATTGTTGAAGGTGATTCACATGGGCTCATATGCCTGCTACGACTACACAAAGACTGTCCTTAGCGAATTTAGACGTTGTTTCGGGATATTCGTACGCCGGCTACTCAAGTTCATGTTCTCAATTATCTTCACATCTATCGAGAGGCTAATTTGGGGTCATTTGGTAACGTTTTCAAGGTCCCGTTTTCATTTTCTACCGAAAACGCGTTCAGTATGTCATTTTCATTTTTACTGGAATTGTTTTCTGAAAACAAATTCAATCTCATGTACAAAAACTGAAAACGCCAAATTATCGTTTTCATTTCGGTTTTCATTTTCTACCCAATGTATTGGTCTGATTGCCTTCTGTTTTTTTTTTTTTGTTGGTCTGATAATTTTTCATTTGTAAATTTTTTTTCTTCTAATTTTCAGTTTTTTCATTCCACTTCATTATTTTATTTTGCCACATCAGTGTATATTAAATTTATGATAAAACCATCATATATTATTCAATTTGATATTTATTTTAAACTAAAGATAATATTATTTTATTATCCAGGTTTTTCTAAAATTAGAATTTTTTAAAAGTTTTAAACTATACATTATTATTCTCAAAGTATGCATTTTTCATTGTTGGTAATAATTTTAGCCTTTAAAATATTATAATTAAAAATAAATAGGACATAAATTAGCAAAAAATATACTTGAAAAATAATTCACAAATTATTATTATTAAATTGTCCTACCACACACGTTTTCGCTATTTTTATTTTCTGAATATGTTTTCCAATTAATCTACCAGACGTATTTTTGAATTTTGAAAATGCAAATTCTTTTTCTCGTTTTCGTTCTCATAAAATATTCTTAGAAAAGATTACCGAACGGGCCCTAGTATTTTTCCTCATATTGGTTTTCTATTCTTCCATCATATGTTGCTTTTGAAGTGCGTTTTGATATGAGGTCTTTAGGGATTCCGTTTGTAACGTTCTGTTTATCTTCTTTAAAATAAAAACAAAAAGAAAAAGAAAAACTACCATATTCTTAGTGGTTATTGAATTTCCTTGCTTGTAAAAAGTAATTATATCATAACATCATAGTAGCAACTGGTTATTCTTATAATATGTTAATTAGACAAGTTGGTTAGAACAGATGTGTTCCCAACTTTACACCCGAGTTCGAATTTCCCTCTTTGTAATTTAAATTAGATTAAAGTAAAATATCACTTGTATTAAAAAAGAAATTATGTTAATTCCATCACGGGAGAATGGTGAAACATTCAAAATACCAGAAAATGTCATTGGTTAATTCAAATATTAAGAATTGAAATTAGTAATTAAATGAGGATAATATGGTGAATTTACATTTTTAGATTAAAAAAATTAAAATTAAAAATAAAATCAGATAATAGGTCCTACTTTTATGAAACATAACTACCTATGTTATATTTTCCTAATTCTAAAAATAAAATAAAAAAGAAAACCAATTGGCACATGTGAGGGGCTAGTATATATGGAAATTAAAACAAATTAAAACAATCTTAGAATATAACATTAATGAAAAATAATTTAGGCATGCCCCAATATGAAATTTACAATTTTAAATCAGATTCATGCATGCAAATCATTCTTTGTTGTGAATAGATTTCTATTAGGAGATTTGACAATTTTGAATTAGATTCATGCATACAAATTAATCTTTGGTGTAAATGAATTCCCATTAGGAGATTTGACAATTTTAAATTAGATTCATGCATTCTAATCATTCTTTGTTGTTATTAACTTATTTTTTATATTATAGGTTATTTCGGTTTACCAGTTAATCAAATAATTGTTCTTTAAATACGGTGGTCTCAGACAATTTGTGAAAACACATTGTTTTCAACAACTTTGTTAGTTGCTTCAGCGCCTCCTCAGGTACCATTGACCTACTATATCACTTGAGCATGAACTTTCTTGTTTTTTTTTTCTTTTTCTTTTAAGGATCACTCTCATACAAATTCATATCTTAGGATTTCATTTTGTGAAAGCATTTGAGGATTAATTAGTTTTTGTTTTCAATTAGAAGCATTCCAAAGAAGAACGATACGAACAAACATTTCCCGAATCTAAAGCGACAAACTTCTCGAAATATATTTTGGGTAATTTTTTTCTTTTTCAGTTTCATTTTGAAATCTAAACCCCAATAAGAACCTTAGGAAAATTCCCTATTTTATTTTGTTTTTTCTTGATTTATATTCTTTTTAGCATTTTTCAATCAGCTGATCTTGAAGCCTATTTTCACAAATTTATGATTTAAAACATAATTATATTCATATTTTGATATCCATCTAATTGATGTAGTTTTCAAATAATTTTATTTAGAAATTGGCTGTTCTTATTGCTTCTCTAATTAAATTAAAGTTTATCATTGTAGCAGGAGAGTTGGCTAGAAAGAGTCTGAATTTGTGCACGCATGAAGGAAACAGTCGGCTGCTACAACATGAATGGAAGAAAGCCTAAACAGAAATTTGTGGTACAAGAAACTTGCTTGAGATATTATCGAATCTATGATTTACCAGAAAATGTGAAGGTATAGTGTATACTACATGCTCTCTTTTTTCTAAACTTGCTTGAGACGTGCATCTATTATTTTTTATCCCCTCATATTCTCTTTCTTAAAGCATTATGCATAATGCATGTATGAAAGTCATTTGGGTGCTTCACTATATTGCGTGTTTGTGGATGGCTACAGTCAATTCCGGAGGACGAGTATCTATGCAAGTATTGCGCATAGAATACGTCCATCTTCTTTAGCACAAAGGCTCCATGGTTGGAAAATTGAGCGCAGACAAAGATCTGAAGGTAATGATATGGTAAATTATATATATCTCAAGAGATTAATTTATAGAAAGTGAAAGTTGGGTATGATTGTTTATGTGGCAAAAGCTCGTATGATTTGAGTAATTTTTTCAGATTTTTGATTTAACAGCTTGTTAAAGAAGAGGAACTGCCCTTAATGTGCCATCAATGTCTGAGGAATGACAATAGCAGGGCGAGATTTGAAAGATGGAATAAGAGAGCTTCAAGACTTCTAAGTCCCCACGTCGATGAAGTTCGGAGGGACAAAGAATCGGGCTCCTCGACATCTTTCTTGACGCATTTTATCACCCATTCGGTCACGTGAATTTCGAAAACCTTGGTATTCAAGTACATTATCCAAAGGACTAAGGATTGTGACCTCAACACGATAAGAACAATCATGCAATGCACTCTTCTTTCGTTATGTTAATCATCTGTCAAGTTAACTGAAAATCTATATGTGTAAATGGGAACAATTGTTTCACATTAGAAGGTTATAAGGAGTTGACTCGCTTCTTTCATTGCCAATTGGTTTTGGGATTGTAACCTTAATTTACTCATGGTATCAGAGCCTGATTTGCCCATTTGTTATGTGAGGATGTAAAAAATTATTGTCCACAATATGTAACATCTGGAGGCTTCCACACACCAGATTATTCTAGTTACCCTCACCCTTAGTAAGAAAACACAAGAATCAAAGCACCCAAACACCGACCCCTGAACTCCTATAATCTATTCTAGTGGGAAAATATCTATGATTAATATTGGCATTTAAATTTTAAAACGATGTATTGGAGTTTCACCGAAAATTTATGCACAATCTAGGAGGACATTGCTGAAATAACATCAACACTTTTAGTAGGGCGGGGTACTGAATAAGTTGTTGACTTTGAGGTCAAACTAAACTTAAATGTATTATACAAATTTATAAATAAACCCAATCCTAGACATGTATTTATAAAAAAACTCAAGCACTATTTAAACATAGAAACACACCCAAAATCAACCCCAAAGTCAACTTTTTGGGTGTGTTTATAAATGGGTTTTGAGTGTGTGTAATGATGGGTTTTGGGTGTGTTTATATGTTTAAATAGTGCTTGAGTTTTTTTATAA